TAGGTCAACAGTTGGACTTCATGATCTCAGAAGTCTATTCCAAACTAATGGTTCTATGATTCTATTTATAAAACTCCATCCAAATCATCACATTCCATAAACCAAACTGTATAAATTTAGTAAAAAAATTAATTTACTTGGCACACATACACAAGGTAAACTTTATAGATTATTAATATTCTTTTCTGCTGCAGTTAAACTTCAAACCCTGCTGGTTTTACATAACTCACCTTTTTAACTGGGAGTGTAAATACGAGGTTAAACGTGTAGCTTCTTCTAGTTGCATAAGCAAACAATTTCTCTTTTCCTGTAACAGTATCCTATAATTAAACAGATATTATTACTATTTTCTTCACTACAGTAGTGCTCCAGAAGTGCTAGGAGCTTTCCAAGCACAGAAAAATATCATTTGGAATATAAAAAGAAGTTTCACTGTTCAATGAAAAATTTTATTTTATGCATCTCATATGCAGCGATCGCAATTCCAGCAAGAACACAAGAACCAAGGCTTCAGCAGAATTCCCAGACAGGTGTTTGAAGTACATTTATATATCATTATATTTAAGCAGATGATCCAGCATTTTGAATACTAAGCTATGACAAAAATCTCTTGCTGTGACTTACTTTTTTGCCCATTCAAATAACAAGCAGCTGAATTACTCAGTACCACTGCCACAACCCAAATGGAATGTAGCTATAATGCTGTCAGTCTCATACACCTATAAGATATCTTAAATTCTGTATTTAGAGATTAGTAAAACTTCGAATAATATATTCTATCTATTGAGACCACATTTATTCTTTTCCTGAATCCAGAATTATAAGTATTCCTGGTGTCTTGTTTTTCCAAGCCCAATCACTGAACCCCAAAATAAAATCAGGGTGGTAATCTGTTTTGTGTTGGACGTTTGTATGTCCAGAAAAGTTACTGCTCCAGCCCCGCATTCACAAGTTGGCTGGAAATCGGGATTCTGACAGACAGTTTGGAGGAAGCAGATCAAACTTATTTGAGGGCTTCAGATCTTCCTCAGCTGCAAAGACAGCTGTTAGAATTCAACATGTTAAAGGGCAGGACAAACAAAAAAAATTATCAACAAAAAGGGAGTCCCTCTGGATAAAACAAAATGGCAGCATTAGTTTCACTAAATTTTGGATGGTCAGGATATGAAAAAAATACGTCTTTGTTAGCAGTAAAATCATAAATCTCTCAACTTCTTTGGCCTCCAGCTTCATCAATTCATATGCTGGCAAGGGGCTGTAGCACTACACTCCAGCAACCTCACTGCCCTCTGGGGAGGCTCCCTTCATTGCAACCATATGGCAGAAGGCTGCGCACCCAAGGCCGCGCAACACTGAAGCTTTTCTCCTGCTCCTGTAGCCTCCGGACCAGGTTATGGTGCAAGAAAGGCTGCAGCTCAGCTATGTAAACTTCCATGATCAAGGCACTGCACACAGGAACCAAAAGAACAAGACAAATTGATGCAAGAAAATCAACCGATTCAGAAGCTTGCAGGGGAAAGAAGGGGTATCCACACCATCTACTTTAAAAAACAAACTTACGAACCTACACTCGGCAGTGCTCAATGCTGTAATGTAGGTACCTGCACTAAAGGGCAAGAGGTGCCTCCAACTAAGGCTGCCAGCCAATCTTAACAAAAATAAACAAAAAAACCCACACAACAAAAAACCTCACACCAAAAAAAAAAAAACCCCACCCCAAAAAACCCTCAACAAAAAAAAAACACCTCCATCATACTAATTTTAAGTTAGTTCTGATCTGCGTCTTTAAAACTCAGTAACAAAACAGAACTGTTTTGCAATTATTTAAAGCAGAAACTTCTTTGTATTTCACTATTAAGAGAAAGCAGAAATAGAAAAGCAGAATCAGGAATGGTTTTGGTTATTCCTGAGCCAAAAACAAACAAACAAATAAATTAGGGCTACTAATAGTTAAGCTTTCCTCCAACTTGTTATACAAAAATAGAGTGCCCTTCAATATTATTGTAACTTCTACTTAACTTTTTGCTAGCATTTGAAATACCAAGTATCACACTGGAATGTTGGTTTCCACAGCATGAACTACATGGAAAAATAGCTTGGCCTTCTTGCCAAGGTAGTATGCACTACCTAACATAAGAGCCCAAAAACAACAAATAAAACTTACTATACTGCAGTGTAAAGTGAACACCCTTTTCTGTCAGTTTAAGCTGGAAATCCAGTGTAAAAATACTGCAAAAATTGCAAAATATATGACATTGATCTGTAGGCTGGCTGTGAATTTTCTATTTATTGCCTGAATTTACTGTCCGAACTAAGCCTTTTCAAAGGAACTGAGGTTGGTTCCAAACCAACTTATGTTGCAAACTTACATATGGAAAGCACTTGCAAATATTTTAAAATTGTCTTAATTATGTAAATATTAACCTTTATAGAGATCACATTAAAGCTGGTTGACGTAGTTTTCCTCAAGTGTCAAAGCTGGGGTTTTACCACTATTTAAGAGAAGCAAGTCTAGGAAACAAGAGCAAGTACGTTCTCACTTTCACTGGAAGCAATCTATGGTAACAAGAAGAGGTGAAGAGGTTTTGTCCATTTCTTCGGCTACAGGAAAAACTAAGCAACTTTGACATAAGCATAGTGTCTCCATCAATATGGTTTGGACATTGTTTGGTTTTACGTATAACTTAAATATCAAGTTTTCAAGAATTACATTGTTTACTGTGTTCTCTGAATGTCAGAGTTGGGATGTGCTCCCACTGCTGAGACTGAAAATTAAAAGGAAAAATTCTATACAAAAGGTAGTAAAAATATAACAGTAAAGTTAAATGATTACAAGGCAAAACCAAACATAGCAAAAGATCTTTGTCCTGATGTGTTTGGCAACAAATATTACTCCACTGAAAAATAACAGAAAAAGCTTTCACGATCGAGGCACTGTTAGTCAGGTCTCAGACTGTATTATCAGACAATACCACTCAGACTTTTTCCAAGCATCTTTTGTAACCCTATTCTGATCTCTTCTTCCTATTCAGGATTTTTAGATGAATGGAAGTGGAACTAACTAGTCAACATGACTCTAACTCTCCTTCAGAAAACCTGAAGAGAGACAGAATGAAATAATAGCAGTCAGGAGCAATCTTTTCCTTTTTTGAAAGCAAATTACTCTAGTAACATTTTTTTGGTTGGTGTTTCTTAAACACAATGAAATTCCTTGTTCTTCCTTTTGAAACTGCCTATATGGATCTTACCGTAGATATAAATAAATAAATTTTTAAAAAGATTTAAGTGTCCAAACCTTTCAGTGGCCCCATGAGCAGACGTTGCTCGAGCCCGCTGAATTTCATCCTCCAGGCGTCTTTTTTCTTCCTCCAAACGTGCAATGTCTTCTGGGGATCGTCTCTGCTGACTGATGAGCTGCAATTCCTGAAGAAGAGCCTCCTTCTCTTTGATGAGCTGAAGTCGGTCCCTGTCCGCTTCAGCCATTCCTGGCCAAGATTCATTGTCTAGCAAGGCCAGCTGCTGTTGTATATTCGAAACTCTTTAAAAGAGGATAAATATATTTCAAAACACAGAAGAGAAAGCTGGAGACAATTAAGAGGAAAATACCAAAATGTGAAGCCTGACTTTTTTTCCTTCTGAATTTTGAAACAAGAAAATTCAGAGGAGTTTGGAAGGATTACCTGTTTCTGGTTTTGCAAGCGGGTTTTTTTGTTTATTTCTTTGTTTTATGTATTTTTAAAACACTAAAGAACTGCAAGTGCTCCTAAGCATGTAGCTGTATAAGAACTACAGTGCATTTATCTACCAGGTGGACAATATCTGTCTTCACAGCTTTCTCATTTTGTAATAAATCAATTCATATTTAGGAACTCTTGAGTTTGCTGTATGTACAGCTGATGAAGTTGAACATCCTTTCATTCCTCATTCTTCCACTATCAGAACTTAACCTGTGATTTCAAAAACACAGTGAGAAGCTTCACGGGAATAAAGGGGAGATGCTTATCTAGTGACAATAGGTCTGTCTATTCATGTCTCACCTAGCAGAAGAATGGTTCAAGGGGCTGAAAATACTAGGCAGTCCTGATCAACAACAAAAATTTAAGAATAAATAAGCTGTTAGTAAGACAAAAATACAGGTCTGAAAAAAAGATTTACTGGTTAAACAATACAGGTGGCTTTAGATGGATCTATCAGCAAATCAAGCAATTAAATAAGTTAACGTGATTTTTTTTATAGTAGGCTTTATAGCCAAAAGTAGTCTCCTATATCCCAATATGCTGAATCCCTACACAAAACAACAGTTTTAAGAATAACTCTACAGTTGACATTTTAAGAAAATGTTCGGCTAAAACCAAATTTTGAACTCTTATAAATATTACAAAGAAGCCCAAAGCTAGAAATTTCACAAGTGTTTCTTTTGGCAAAAACAAAGGTTATATAAGCACAACAGGGAGAACACCGACTGCTAGGTATTTACGCTTGTTTTACAACAGGCAATTTAGACACTTTAGAATGCTACAGTTAAAATGAAAAGTAAATAAGAGAAAATCTAGCTTTCCGATTTTTGAACATTCAAAAATAAACAACTGTACAACAGGTATGCAGTTGTACACCTCAGTTTCATCTTCACTTTGAAACGGTAACATTCAAAGGTCAGTGCACCACAAAAGATTATCACCCTTTGAATAAATAAATAAATAAATAAAAGCACATTTAAAGCCATCCGTAAGAGTGGGTATGTGTTCATTCTTTTGGTAAGTTAGTTTAAGTGCTCTTTTTTCCAAAATATCTGGTGAGGAAGAAAATAACAAACAAAGCAAGGTAAAAGCATGTAACAAGCAAACAGAAAATCCACAGAAGATCCATGGTGTGATAACATGTGTTTAAGAACAAAGAAAAGGCATAGACATGACAAAGGTAAGGTTTTCCCCACCTAAAAGAAAAACATCATGCAACATTTATTTCATACTGACATCTGGAAAGTATTTGGCCATCTTATTATCAGGGGAAGGGAAATAAAGTATCAATATAAGTAATTTTGCAATGACTGCATTCATGTATGAATAGGAATTTCACCGTGAATTTTGTCAAACAGATTCACTCCCCCCTTAGGTTTCATTTACAGCAAGTACAGAACTTGGGTATTATGTTACATTTTAGTCTAAAGCAGAATACTTTATCAAGCCCTTCAATACCATTTCCTCCCCCTTGCATTAATAACCAACTTCCTGCCAATAGCTACTGAAAGCACCATTGTGAATCGATACGTATAGCCTACATATTTCATGCCTCAGCTATCGTGCATTAATTCCAGATGCAGCTTCCTGAAGAACACCTTGCCACATCGACCAAACGTCAAGGCCAGGAAGAGCAAGCAGAGTAAGGACCCTTCCTCTCCCCTGCCCTGGCTGCTACACTGTTAAAGATTCAGTAAACACTCCTGAAGGCGTATGTACAGCTTGATTTTCAAGTGCTCAGCGCCAAATGAAACAAATGGGGACTCAAGGTCCCTTCAACAGAATTACAGAATTCAGGTACAATTGAGTTATCACAGCTTGGCGAGCAAGTGTGAATCAGATGAGCCCTGGCAACGTATTTGAGTAACCATGTTCATCAGCTCTTACACAGCTTGTGGATGAAAGAAGATGAAATGTGTCTGGTGAAATCTCCGGGTTGTTTTGTATGACAGCTGAAAGACTGACCCTCTCCTTCATTTTAACACTCACAAATGTTTCGCTAGCTATTTTTCTAATGCAGGGTGAGCTGGTTAAGAAGCTGACCATAGGAGCAAATAAATGCTAATACAGGCAACAAGGAAGACAGAAGTACCAGCAGGCAAGAGGGGAAGGTGGGATCCCCCCTTTCAGCGCTAGTTACCCACTGAATCCACTCAGCTGTAAAAACACAACAACACCCTCAATTCAAGAGGTTTTAATTGAGACTCTTTAAGTTTGCTCAGAGCACATAACTCCCTTTGTGTATGACACTTTGAAGTTCATTTCCCCCCCTCAATTTCTGTTACAATGATGCTTTGAAAGTTGGAAGTTGTCGTACAGTAACTTAATTATGCTGTTCTTAAAGGGAAAAGTTCTACTGTGGACAAGATTTATATCACTGAAGAGTTCCAAAATCTGATTAGGTATTTACTTTGATTCCCTTGACACTCACTCTTAGCATTTCAGCTAGCTCTTCTTGTCTCTATGCTTTCCCTTTAAGTAAAGAAAAAGCACCTACATAATGCAGGAATCTGTTGGGAAGGGAACTTCAGCACCAATAAGCCAGTTTTCTGCAACCTGTATTTCCTGCAAATGAATCAAAGTTTTCAGGGAATTTTGTTGCTTGCTTTCCACTGAGGACTCCCTCTGTATGGTAAATTGTTCCAAAAAGCTACCAGTGATAATTTTTTTTTTAAATTTATCTCCTTGGCTAGAAAACATCCCTAAGGCTTTTATGGTCTCACTCACTCAAACCTAAGAAAAAAATATCTGAGGAGTCATGTTCAGTTCTGCTAAAAACATAATAAAATTTTTCTTAAGCATGTTCCATAATTGCAATTTGTCTTCTCCCAACACAAGCTTTTCTTCCCAAACACATCAAATGCATAAGTAAGCAATTTTATTGTGCTTGTCCATGCCAGATTTTATACCTGTCCTACAGCAGCCATTCTCACTGCTGGTACGTTACAAAAAAAAGAGCTAGTTTGTGTTTTCAGACTCCATGCAGATACTCACCTACCTTAAATACCCACTTAAATAAATCAATGACTTGACATAGATTGCAATTTTAAAAATATTTAGGATCCTTTATGAAGCGCTGTTTTTCAAACACATTTTTCCATCCAACTGGGTATTTTTTAAGATACTACTTCTTGAGTTCTTGAGTGTAGTCACTGTAAAAGAGTACTTTTATCTGGCCTAATGCCAGATAATGAGGTCCCTACAGATAGAGCAATTTAACACGTTCCTGGGGAAAAAACAGTTAATTTTGAGCCATCAACATTCCAGGCATTTTGCCCATTCCCATCCTTGCATAACAAGTGCTGAGGAGCTTGCATTCCACGCTCGAGTAGGTGGTATCAAATGACTGGTTTCCTAGGTAGGCAGTCCCGACTTGCTGCTTATTTCAGTATTTAAAAATTTCAAATGGAGATGAATATAACAGCTCCTGCTAAGCAGAAAAGCAGGAGGGGCACAGATGGGATGACAAAGTTTTAACTTGGTGATCTTAAGCAAACACTGATGCGAAATGGCAAACTTGCCCTGAAATGGCCATACTAATGTAGCCAGAACGATGCCTAGCCCAAGATAATGTAGACATGGCATGAGGGTGGAGATCAGTACAGCCAGTAGTTTACTACACAAACTACATCTCGGGGGCAGAAAAGCATGTATTTTCAGAATTTACAGCATGTCTGAATCATCATATATCTACGCAGATCCACCTAGACAAAATAGGGAAATCCTTCTGTCATTGGAAATATTTGGTGAACCTAAAAGATTCTGTTAGCATCTAGAACCTCATTTTCAAGACCGCTATCTGAACCCAGCACTAATGAAATTATACTGCTGAGGTGGAGAACATTTCAGTTTAGAAGAGGTTATTTATTAAAAGATAGCACGAGAAGTGAGATTAAAGTAAAAAAACGCCACTTTTTGTGAGAGTCTGACTTAGAATTAACCCCATGTTTAGACAAGATTTACTCAGATTATGAACAAGACAGGTGTCCCGGGGTGTGAAATACTCCGAAGCAATACAAAGGTCCTAACTCATGCTCACAAAAGGGACAAATTATGGGTGTCCTATAGCTGGCACTTCCTCACCTACAAGCTCTGGTCTTTCTAGCTTAAACAAGTTCTTCAAACGTTGAATTTTCTAAGGAAAAAAAAAAAATACACGCCTACTAATGCCTAGACTTTTGGGTGACATAACAGACCACTCTACAGCAGAGGCCTTTGGTACCTGTGGAATGGGAAGACTGGTGGGGACAAAATAAAGAAAAAAATCCAGTTATGATCTGGAGAACGGTGGCTAAGATCACACAAATAGGCAGAGATAGTGAACACAAATCAGCTCAGATTACTTTTTTCCTTAGGATTATAATGGGCTTATAATTGGACCCAGTTCTTTGCCACACTTCATGTAACAGGGAACTTCTCCCACGTGCAATACCCAGAGGAGGTGGTTTTGGTACTGAAGACACATAATGAAGGGTGTAAGAACTCAGTAATTTCTGATACTTACAGACCCTCTTGAGAGTGGATTATGATTTATACCCAAAGAGGAGAAGGCTGGAGAAAGGGGAAGAAAGAAACGGAAAGAACAAGAAGCTGGAGAACTCGGCCAAATGCTTACAGAATTTCTCCACTGTGTCTACTTTGGCCGTTCCTGCAAGTATGTGCCACTGTGGCTTTGGCGAACAACACAAGTACGCTCTGTAGAATATCCAGCCTTCCTGGCAGCCTGATTCAATAATGAGGAGGTCTTAAATTGGCTTAAGACACTCATGAAACCTTTAGAGTCCACTGGCATTTTGCAGATCAACTTAGGTATCCACATTTAGGAAAACTGCAAAGCCTGCTAAAACCAGCGGAGGGGAGGAATTAGTATTTTCCCCAACTCACAGGTAAACTGATATAATGAAAACTTTAAAGACAGTACAAGAGCATGGCTTAGCTCCCTTTATAAACCAAAGAAAAAGTTTTATGTTTAAAAAACTGACGGCAGGAGATTTAGGTTTAAGTGAAATGCCTGAGCCAGGTATTTATGTGATATCAGACAAATTACTTCATCCCTAAATCAGATTTTCAGATTAGTTAGCAGAATAAAGCATACAAATCCACCGAATTTCACTAGAAATTAGGCAATTATACCTTGAAACCTGACCACACAAGATGAATTTTAACAGGAAGATACTTGACTGTTATTGTATCAGTACTGGAATGTTGCTATCAATACACAACCAACATGTATTTTGTCAGTACAAGCACAAATTGCACTGTGCTAGTGCTTTTAAAAGCCCAACTGAAAACTAAACTCGGTAATGGGACAAGTTTGCAACAAAGTAACTATTCAGCAACTATTCTGGAAAGAAAGAAGTAACATTCTTAAAGGGAATGTGGAAATATTAATCATAGCCGAAGAGGAGGCTTTTTCAAGGCTATCATAAATCTGTTGACAGGCATTTATGATTAAAAACAATTGAATTGAAAAATAAATCTCTGAACTCAAATGTATAGAAGCCATAATGAAATTACTGGTTTTGCACCAAAATTAGATAAGGTGGTTGAAGACACTTGGATGTATTAGTTGATTAAAGTCACCTACCATGAGATTGGATTATTAAAAACACAAAAAAAACCCCACACAGTTAAAAATTTTGGTGCTTCTTATTGGAGGGATCATTTTTCATCTATTGATTAATACACTTCACAGGATATGAGGCACTGTAGAAATCACATTTTGGATCATTTGCTTATATACTTCATGTAGTCATTATACTGAACTGCACAACTTAAAGAGTTATCAAAGAAAAACAATTTGCTTTTGATTTCTCCTTCTGTGAAACAGTCTATTCAGAAAAAGTGCTTGAGGGGTATACTTTCCAGTGTGCAAATGCTTTCATGAGAGGTGGTCTCACTGAAATAGCAACTGAAACTAAAAACGGTATTTATCCAGGCAGCTTGGGGCTGTCTGTTCAAAAAGACCGTCCTCCCTCCCTCCTGCTTCTCTGGAAGGCCACACTGACAGATCTGAGAGAAGACATTTCATGGAACTAAGGTACAGTTTATTTAAAAATAATGGGGGGTGGGCAAATGCTTTCATGAGAGGTGGTCTCACTGAAATAGCAACTGAAACTAAAAACGGTATTTATCCAGGCAGCTTGGGGCTGTCTGTTCAAAAAGACCGTCCTCCCTCCCTCCTGCTTCTCTGGAAGGCCACACTGACAGATCTGAGAGAAGACATTTCATGGAACTAAGGTACAGTTTATTTAAAAATAATGGGGGGTGGGGGGGGGGGGGGTGGGAAGAGAAGAGAAGAGAAGAGAGCAGAAGAAAAGTGATTGAGCCTCTCTTCAGCATGACTGGCAACTTAAAAAGTAGAATTTACATGCCTCCTCCCAGAGCCTGGATCAGACACAGGAGGGACGACCTCTTCCCCAGCATGCTGAAGATGTCAGAACCCACAGCTCACAACATCTGAAATACCCACGGGAAAAATTAAATTGCAAATTATCCAACTTCCTTCCAGTGGGAAGCTGAAGGGGAAAAAAAGCTGTGTGAATGTCTTAATTTACGCAAAGGCCAAACCACTCGGTAGTTACAGAGATTTTTGAATGAGGATTTAAAATCGAATACTCTTTTATGAGGGAAGAGAGGTATTTTGGGAGTATAAGCCAACTTTTCTACTATCACTGGATCATCTCCTGAATTCGTCAATATCGTTCATTCAGAAATCCCAACACTGTATTTCCTTCCTCAGACATCATATAGAGAGAACATGTTCTTATTTTTAAAAACTTCTTTACTACATAGGCAAATATTCTGCTCGTATCTAGAGCTGTATGATTTTCTGGTTAGTTTCACAAGAGTGACTAAAATACAACACACTGGCCATCAGTTTGTGTGGCTTTTCCCCTGCTTTCCTTTAAGGGAAATACTTTAAGGGACATGCTTTTCTCCTAGGGTGTATTTTAAAAGTCTCCCATTAAAACTTGTAAATAAGACAGTTTGGCTGCTGTACTTATTTGCTATACGTTTCCACAACCTGTTTGACAAGCAAGCAGTCATAATATACTGCTTTACAGTTGTGACATATTGTAGCATTTTAATTTTCTACTTTGTAGATTTTAATCCATCGCAGCACATTCCGTCACCCACCCTGTGCAGTAACAGTAGATATTTCACCAGCCAAGGGAGAACGAACACAAAGATATTTAGTAGAGACAAAAGCCCTACAGAAATGCCAGCAAGCTAAGGGGAAGGAATGCATGATAAATGAAGAATGCAACCACAGAGATAACTGGTAGGGGCAATGAGCTTTGTGCAGTTCCACTCAAAAGCTGAAAGCTGATTACTTCCGTACAACATACTGGGCAGAATAAGGCTACTATTTTAAAGCAACTAACATGCTTTTGCTAAATAACAGACCATTGTCAGAGCTGCTATCCCAGGACAGCAAAACTACCCTTACTGCAATTAGTATTCTCTAGTTGGAAGGTTAGTTACCCAGATTTTCTACACTTCATTAACATCAAACCCCAGCTCACTTCTGATGTTTAGAAATCCTGCATTCCATACATAAACAAATGTTCAGCATTTCCAGCAGAGCAATGCTTCTGCTACTAAATAAAAAATATTAAAAAAAAAACCAACCAAAAACCAACCAGCCAACAAAAAACAAACCATTCCATGACTCCACATTGCAATATTACACAAGAGAACTGTTTTGAAAAACACATAGAAAAGGTACGTCAGAAAACGGAACTACATTTAATACAATCTTCAAAGCACCAGTGGCCCTGCTAAACTAAGCAGTATAAAACTAAATTCTATCCTTCTTTCAGCAACTGAAATGAATGAACCCCTAAATTATCACTGGACTATTAAGTGCTAAGGGTTAAGCCTGACCAAATAGGACACTGACAGGTTTTTGGTTTGCCCTTTTTTTTTTCCCCAATTATTTAAGCTTTATTAGGTAATAGTCACTGGTATTCACATGCAGTATTTTATAATGTAGATTTTCATTCCAGTTACAAATCCTGAAGATTGAGCTGTGTACCTCTAACACGCTTGCACCAATTTAATTTTTTTTTTGAAGCCTGTATTGCATCCAAATGTGGGTAAATTTTCCAAAAACAACTAAATGGTGAATTGCCTATAAAGCTTCCAATCCCTGCCAAGACACATGACAGCATTACGGTTTCCCTCAAAGAAAAAGTGACTATAATATGAAGAGAGAAGGGAAGAAAAAAAAAAAAAAAAACCAAAAAACAAAAGAAAAGGAGGTAAAAGTATTAAACTTTTTTTTTAACCCTTGTTCTGAGAGATCCAAAAAATTGGCAAATAGGCAAAGTTGAAAAGAAAAAAAAAAAGACCTTAACTTCAAAAAAAATTAAAACCTAAGGTTTTTCAAAGTTAACTATGTAGAATCTTTTAAGTGTCAGTCAGTTCTAATAAGAGAATGTTCTATCAGCACTAAACAAAATCATCACAAGTGCATAAAATTACTGTGTTCAAGTTATCACCTATACCCACACTATTGTCCTGAATATGTTGCAAATATTTTGAAAACAATGAGGTTAAATGAGGACCTGCTAAACTATACTAGTAGGTAGTATTTTTAAAATAGTACTGAACAAGAACAGATCACTTTTACAAAGCCACAAAAAAAACCCACTGCAAGTTTGACCTCCACAAAAGAAATACTTACGATAAGCAATTAGATTACAGGACTTAGTGAAGAAATTAATCTATTCAATTCAAAAATATTTTTTCGATCTCAACATCTATTTTTATGTACCCTTTTGTTCAGCTCTGAACACCTTCATTTATCTCACAGGAAGTTCTGCATTCTTTCTTCACACTGAGTTCACGAGTTCAGTACACTGAACTTAGAACACAGGTATGCAAAGCACCGAATATACTGACATACCAGGCTGGTCAGTGTAAATTTAAAGACTGTTTATATTGAGGTTTGAGCAGAAGGGGGAAAATGTAAAACAGTTCAATTAAACGACTGCAGTTTTGTGTTTATAGACATGTAGAATGGGGCTGACATTTAGTTTTATCTCTGCAAACAAATACAATAATCTTGTGATAAAGTCTTACGTTTACTTAAGCTTTTATTATCTGTGAACTACTCAATAGTAAGCAAATTAGTCTTCCTAAAGACATTTCAGCTAGGAGGCTGATTCCAGTTCTACTTTGAAAACCACAATCATAAGAGTGAAAATAAAAAACAACGTATTTATTACCTTTTCTTGGCCTCTTCATATTGCCAGTTCAGTCTCACTTTGTCTACAAGTCTTGTTTTGTCATCAAACCCAAACTTTTGCAGAGTTGAAGAGCAAGGAGAGGGAGAAAAAGAAAGGGAAAAATTAGAATTTAAAAACACTCTCACAAAAAAGACAGTAATAAATTAGTCTCACTTACTGGATTCACTAAAAAAACCCTCAATACTTTAAGTAATAACATAATAAAAATCAATTTTATGCTTTAGAAATACAAAACTGGTTTACTGCTAAAAATACAGAAGAGCCCTCTCAATAAATCATGAACCTGGAAATCAAGGGTTAGCAAATAGGATCACTGATGAAAGGTCAAAGCTTTTCAATTCCATCCAAGCCTAAAACATAAAGAGTATTTTAATTGAAATATTTTACTACTTGATACAGCTATTTTATGGATAGTTTAATTAGAAGTAATTCAGATTACATTCCCTCTACTGTGACTTGTTACCCAGCACTTAGATCATTAGTGTGTTTTAAACACTATTACAATAACATCACCCGATTCTTGAACCAGTCATAGAACGCACATTTATGCTACAACTCCTACTGTCCAGTTTCTACAGCGACTTCTCTCCACCTTAGGGCATCAGCAGTTCCCCTCTTCAGAAGTCTGCATACAGAGAAACCCAAGTCCCTGTTTAAGTGCATTGCTGCACCTCTGGATTACTCATCTAACTCCTGCTTTTGCTCTCTTCATCATCACACATGTGAAAAATCCACCTCTTTTACTCACATTCCATTACTAATGATTCAGGAAAACAACTACCATAATTATCTAATTTTATTTCCCTAACAAAAAACCTATACCTGATAAACACAACTCTGTGTTTGTCTTAGATGGCATTCAAGGTATACTGTGAATGGGAAACACTGCTATGTTCCTTTTAGTAATTCAATTCGGAATTCAGTAATCACATCCATCACCAGTCCGAAAAATGACATCCTAAAGGCACCGTCTAGCTAACACACTGAAAGACAGCCAAGTGTTAGCTAAGTTTTCTTAGATGCTTTAGGAGTGTATCTTCTCAAAAACACAGGTTGCCTCTTCTGTAGAGGCCCTCTGGAGACATCCAGCTTGGCAACTAGTCAGCAGTGAAAGAAGACAATAGAGGAGAAACAGGATGACAAAAACCTACAATTAAAAAGTTACATAGTTCAATAAAATTTTGTAACCAAACATGGAGTAACATCCAAACTACAGTATTAAAACTACCAACAGGTTGTCGTCTTGCTTTGCTGTCAATCTCATCCACAGAAGCAAATGTTTTATTGCTGAAGAACAGCTAGGCTGCTACAGCACTAGTGCAAGCCAAATTTTTATTATTTGGAATACACAATTTCATTCACACAGAACTATTTCCAAGGAATGCTAGTATGTTCTTCTCAAATACCATATTTAAAGGCATATTGAAGCACAAAGGTATGACAGATTAGATCAGAAGCCTTGTTAGTTTTCAGGAAAGGTACTCTGAAACTCTAACAAATACTTCCCTTGTCTCACACAGAGGACAGGAACAGAGGTCTACTCTACATCCTTGACATATATGAACAATGATGACAAACATGATAAAAACAAGATTTTTTTTTTTAAATATACACATCCATCATTACTACCAGAATACTAACATCTTACTGTTGCACAATCAGGACTCTACTGCAACTTCAAGCAGGCTAAAGCATTTTCTTCCTTCCTGCATCATTCCGAGTACCAGTAAGTCAGAGCTGATGACGTGAAGAGAAGAGGTCCACGGACACCTCAACAAGAGCTGTTACTCAGAGGTGAACCTGTGGTCACCAAAGTGATGACATGGGAAGTGCTCTGCTGGGCTGGCTGAGTCTGTGAGCTGATTTTACCTGTCTCTGACCTGCCAGCACGCCGCTACGTCCCTGTGCCACACTCAAGCAGCAAAACCACAAAGCCCACCACTCACAGGCACTGCTCACACGCTCTGGAAACAATAAGCAAACGCAACTCCCTCGCCACCGATACTTCTTTGGATTTTGTGTTCTGCTACAGCCAGCACCTCTTAAATTAAAACAGGAAATAACAATGTATGGCTGTAGTACAAAAGCAGCTTATTTTCTACAGCAAACGTTTCGCGTAGGAACGCATACCTCTCCAGTGATGTCAGTCTGAGAACAAGCATCGCAGTGTTGTTGAGGTAAACAGGAGTCACTGAGCGAACTAGAATTGTGCTGGAGATCCTGCAGGGAATCTGTAATACAACAGCTATTCCTGAATCCATCTGTTAATTTGGCCAGGCTCTAGAGGAGAAGAGATTTTTAAAAATAAAAATAAGAAAAACTGGGGTTTGTAATTCTTTTATTAACAGAAAACAAAGAAAAAATTCTATTTTAGAAATGTCAGGTAGCTTGCCTATAAAGAGCTGTTTACAGAAAGTAAAATTCATCGTAGTGTTACTAACATTCAGAAGCTTTGCTTTGAAATAAACCTCTCCTTTTAGAAGATGCATCTAACAGTCAACTGATTTTGAATTATCTGGTTTAGACGTATGAATGTTTTAGGCCTTGTATGGCTTACAGTTCTTCAAACCTAGCAGCTGTCGACTTTCAGGTTAGCTGATAGGGAAGACAAATGTGATTCACCTGCCCTTTTGCCATCTTCTGCACAGGTTACATTCCTCAGCCACTACCGCTATCACATCCAACTTGATGAATACCTTGCATTGATTGTATTTTTATGACAGCTGATTTCACCCTTCTGCTCTCTTACCCAAGGTTCACATAGTTAAAGAGACATTTTACAGTTTGGGTTAGGCAAGGCACATCTCTCAGATGTCTAGACAATGACACAAACTGTGAGGGTAAAGCAAAGACCTCAAGCAGTCTTTAAGGGGAAAGGAGAGTAAGACAGAATCACACTAAATTACAATAACTTTTTCAACAACACAAGCTTGGTTGGTAGGCTCTTAAAATTCCTTAAAAAAAAGATAAAATTGTTAATTTCACTTTTATTTTCTGATTGTGCTTTCTCTCTTTTTCCAAAATTACAGCTAATGTAGTATCAAATAACAAAACCACTGTGCAGGCTGTCATTTATGATAGAGACCTTAAGTATTATGCATCAGAAGAACATTAAAAAAAAAAGACGACATTAAAAACAATCAAATTCTATCCCCTCACCAGAAGATAAAGGACAATCAAATTATGTGAAAAACACTTATCAGAAATTTGAAGACCTGTATCAAGTTATAAATCATAACATAATCAAACCATTTGGTTCTAAAAATACACATAAAAACTCTCAAAACTGCTTGTTCCACTGTCTGAACTACAGTCGGAGACCAATCTGAAGCACTGCATTGGGAAAAGGCTGGCCCTCAGGAATCTCAGTGGCTGTGACAACTGGTGATTTGCAACAAGCCCCGGTTATTGTCCATATCCAATTACCAGGAGATTTCTCGGTCTTCAAAGTGCAGTTTAAAAATGGTAACATATCAATGCTGCATTTTCTTACAACAAATTCAATTAATGGAGTCAAGAAGACAAACCTGTGTAACAGCAACTGGTTGCTGCTCACAGAAACAGCAAGACCACCTTGAAGATGAAGGCGTCCGGTTTCGGAGCCTAGCAAGCATCCACAGGAATTGCAGCAGGCCTGAAACTAGCCAGAAAAAGCAGGTTTTTTCTGGTGGCCTCCATTTCCATCATGCACAGTCCATGCCTTTGTTCTCATTATATCCCTGTCCGTCCCTCGGGCCTGCCTCCACTAGAGATTAAAAAAGGGGGAAAATACTCAGCCTGGTGCAGGATTAGCGAACAAGTGGGCTCCCTAGCCACAAGAGCGGGGGGCTGCCCTCCCTGCCACCACTCACACCACACATGCTTTGTCTTCTTTCTATTAGGCAAAGGCAGGGAGAGACATAGGTACACACCACGTGTCGGAGAGCACATGCTGCTCCTTCTCCTGTCTCCGTCTGCTGGTACTACAAGGTCTGAGTGGGGCTGGGACTTTGTGCTCAGCACTGGCAGGGACAGAAGACAGTGCAGAGCAATGCCAGACGTGCCAGCAGTGGGACAAGGCTACTGCTGCTTGCCTCCAGAAGCTCAATTTGTCTTGGATCTCCAAAAAAGCCAATTCTTCTGCCACCTCCCAATTGAATCATGCCATCTTAGTATGAAGGACAAACAAAATAGTTTCTTCTCAGTCCTGAGACTGCAAAATTCAATTTCAAGTTACGTTGCTGAGAAGTCCCTAGGTAATGTCCCTTTATCCTCCAAGACCTGCTGCAAAATGAACTGCTCTGTGACATGACAAAAAAAAAGAGTGTCTTCCACTTCATAAAAATTGAAAATTGCAGACGCCTGTCTCTCTTCTTTAAAACTGACTGGAAATCATCCAGTCCCATCAGTCTCCCACTGTACAGAGGATCAAGATGGATCCCTAATGGGTTTATAACATGGAAATAATAATTTCAAATCCTAGTTACACAAACATCAAACATCTAACATGTCCTCTTACCCAGTAAGGCAGAGCCAGTCACAGGAACAAAAACTGATGATTCAAAAAGCCTGAGGTTTCTCCCAAATAAGCTATGTCCCATCTGGCACCTTTGGCTAACACATATTATGTTACAGGCATATGTAACACCAAAGATCTGATGCCAGAACTTAAATATAAACATCTATACTTTTGCCCATATTTCAGCTACTTTATGCACTCCTGGTGTGCTCCTGACACCCTCCAGCATCTCCTTGGCAGGTAATGAAGGGCTGCTTGGCTGCTGGCCAGGCTCCCTATCCGGGTACCATTGCTGAACCCTGGATACTACTAAATTACATAGCATTTGGCAGGCGTCAATCACCAAGTAGCATCACCTTACCTTAACTTACATCTATGTACAGAGGTGACTATGCTCTAGGGTAAGCATAAATGCTTTGAGTCTTTCTAGTTGGATGAGTGAAAGCACAGCCTCCAGCAATCCTAACAAGTACAACATGAGTTAGCATACTTCTAGACAGAAACAAAGTACACAAACCTCTAGTAATATCCTCCCCAGCTATATGGAGGAATCCATCTTTCATCTGGTGTTTATGGATTGTTTATGGCAATGCCACAGAAACTGCCAGACCAGCCTATCGTATGGATGTGAAGTTCTAGGCACACCAGCCCAGACCTACCCAAAAAGAGAGAAATGCGCACTGCCACCTCATCACTGTCCGTTGCTCCCTGATTTGGGAGCTCGCTCCCACATACAATTTCCATGCAGTTCCTATCTAACCTATTTAGCCTATCTAACTGGTAATGAAAAGAAAGGAAAAGAGAAAAAGAAAGACAAAACCCAAACTCCAATGCTTCCTAAGGATAAAGGACAACATTTTAAAAGCATATGCACATACTGGATCAGAAACAAAAGTATGAAAGGGATGGGGGGGCGGGGAGCTGCTTTCAGGAACCTAACCGCACTTTCATTACTCAATCTTATCTAAAAAAGTTCGCCCACTTTTTTGGAGCGGTGACATTGCATATTTGGCTTTATTTGTAACCACAGCACCCAGCTTAAATCTGACCACCCTCTCCTTGCCTCGTCAGCCTTCTCTCCCACATAACTCAATCCAATTATCATATTTCTATGACAGCTACAATTTTCCAAGCACCTACACAAAACTGAGTCACTCCTACTATGTTTAGTTCTGTCACTTACACTTGCCAGATTTAAATTAAGAAATAGTATGAAATTGTCTATTTCCTTTCTCTGAAATAAACCCCTATCTGTTTACATGATACTTTAAACTCCTCTATAAACAGCTTTCAAAACAAAAAGTTTTTTATAAGAAAGCTTGTCTTACCAACAGTACCTTTAAAATGTAGCATTTTTGAGGACAAAACAATTTCAAAATTGATAGGAAATTAAAAATCAAATTCTGAACTCACATAGGAAGACACTTAAAATAGACTTGCACTTGTTTGACAAAGCTGAATAAATTCATAAAAATAATTGTCAATTAATTATAAAAAAGCAAAGCACGGAAAGGTTTGGTGACAATCAAACTAATTTAATTCTTTTGGGTCAAAATTTAACAAACTATCAAGCAGAAAGCTGGATATTTTTGCAGAGCACAGTAAGTTCGCAGAAATACACAATTTTTACAACTGTAGGTCTTGTAAACTACGGCATTCGATCCCTTATTACAACTGCAACAAAACACACAGAACTGTTCCTGTGTGGAACAACTATTTTCTAGGGTCTCCTGGACTGATACGTCTGTTATTGGATGCTATCACAACACGTTGTCATTAATTACAAAAATGATACCTCCTAGACCGATATTTCCTCCACATCACATACACCCATGAAGAAGGATGGCAACACTTTTCATTTTCATTTCTGTCTTGTGCAACCTCTACATTCTGGTGCTGCCAGCACTGCCCAGTCCTTCATGCTAAGGTTGATCCTAGACTTCTAACTTGCTGAACACAGTATTTAAAGAAATTGCAAGTGGACTTAAAAGTTGGTTTAACAGATATGATTTTCAAGGCATCTCAATGTTTACAGCTGGATTTAGTGGCACTGAGGACTGAAAATGTAAGGAAAAGGGGGAAAAAAAAAAAAAATCTAGAGGAGGAGTCAAAAGAAGGCCAGCAGTTAAGCTGTTCCAAGATCTCACACACAAGTTTTTAAATTACCAGTTAGTTTCCTAAAATGTGCATCACTGCATCCATGAAGAACCGCCTTTCTAATCGTTTCTTGCTAGCCAGGCATGTGGAAGGCTGAGAATCACTTTAAAACTTGGCCAACACAAAATATCAAATATGTTAGAAGTTGCCAAGGCAGAAACTTTTCATAGTGACTTAAGTGTTCTGTCTACTTGAACAAGGATTTGTGGTCCTGACCTGTGGTCCAGCTGACCTTTGGGTAATGCTTTGGAGACGGAATAATTGTATAACTATGGAAATTCATTATATGTAAGTTACAAGCTACCCATATCATTTAGCAATTAAAAAAAAAAGCACCAGCAAAACACTGCTGCGGGGAAAACAGAAAGGAAATGCTTCAACACGGTCCCAAAAATTTAGGTAAGAAAAATGCCTTTTTCCACACAGCAGTTTGAAGACTGGGTGAGGAGAATTGTCCTTGTCACCTCTCTGTATCTGCAGCATATTTGGGCAAGTCCCTGTGGTGGCAGAGGGCAGTGGCTCTTTGATCACATTAACAACGCAGACACAGCGACTGAGAGCTTGGAGCAGGATGTAGAATCCATTCAAAAGTTAGATCACTACTCTGGCATGTATCTCCCCTCGATCCTCATGCTCCGATCCGTAAAATAATTTAAAGCTTGCATGATGGTTTCTGTATCCACTGTATTTAATCATACTCCCTGAGGGGTCTGTGAGAACATCTGAAATTAACGTGCGTCTTGATATGGCTATGTAAGAGGAGAGTTTGGGGCAAAAAAAGAACATCTGACAAACTGCGGCATAGTGATGTCGAGATCCAGTTTTGTTAAATGCTTACAAATAAAAGGAAAAACATGGTACACGAACCGGTAAAAACATTTTAGCACATGAGTTCTCAGTCCTACTTCATTATAGGTAATATAAAGAGACATTAAACAATATGAAAAACAAATACTGTAAAACTTAAAATTTTTTTTTAAAATGCAGCATAATTACTCCATAGAAGTCTTTGATATAGTCAGTAGCGATGGAAAGCTATAATCAATAAAGACATTGATCTAAATGCAAAGATAGTACATTATCTAAGACAAAAATACGAGATGCATAAGAAGTCTGGTGTTCACTGTATAGACAATGACTTACCTCTTTCGAGCTGCCACCCCACTTTCTTATTTAAACTTGTAACCCCAATGCAATCACAAGAAGACAGAGGTAGGTTATTACTTTTTAGCAGCTATTTGTTCAGTAGCATATTTTTTACCTGCATAAGGTCCTGCCTTTCTTTTTCACCTGTGCATATAGCTTTCTTTATGGTTCGAAGTTCACTCATTATAGCTTGTGCTTCATCCAGCCTATAGTTTGTATGAGCACTTGACATCTTACGATCAATCCTGTTGAAAAGATTTAAGACAAATTCAGGAATTTTCACATAATTGGAAAGTGCATAGACATTTTAAGACCTCTTATTTATTCATGTACCACTTTCTTTCCAGGTATAAAACAATACTCTACTTGGAATTAACACAGCACTCAGTGCCAAGTATGCTCCAAAGACAAAGCAATGCAATTAGCTATTCAGGTTCTTCAGAACCAACAAATTTCCTGGTTTTAATGTCCTAATACAGAGCTTATTTACAGGCAACGTCCGTGGGCTATTTCACACCACAAAAGTAAAATCAACCCAAAACTAACACAGTAATAACTCAAAAGATAAAGATATTAGCAGTATAGCTGTCACATTTTCTATACAGCATTACACAACATCTCTTCCAGGACTTCTATCTGATCTTGCTCTAGAAGTTTCTAACCAGGGAATTTCATTTTCTTGGGAAGAAATTCTTCATTTCTAAAATTTTATGGCAAATACTTGCCTGACGTTATGGGCACCTTTGAGGATCTTTTCTAGAAGACATCATCATTCCATACTAAGGGAAGTCACACGGGACCACGCCAGAAGATTTCAAATGCAAACTCAGCAAGGGGCACAAGGGCTACTCACTACATCAGGTTGAAGCTCTACTAAAGTTTCCATCTTTACAGAAAAATCTCTCTTCTTAAGTGGGATATCCACTTTCTGAGTTTTCAACTTTTCTTCCAACAGTTTGCAACAGTAAAGGAAAACAGATCAGGATGCAGAATCCAGTGTATCATCTTGATAATTTCCTTTGATTTATAAATAAAGAACAAGACCAGAGACTCTGCAGAACCTACTAGAAGAACCATTTGGTCTTGAATTTATAACAAATGGCTATGGGATTTCAACAGACTACCCATGGCAATTAGTGAAAATTGTGTTAAAATCCTGTTAAAACATGAAAACCTCAATTTTCCTGTTAATCTAGCATAGAAAGTGTGTATACAGAAAAAAAGGTGGTATGTGTAATAGTCCCTAAGCAATGCTATGAGCAAACATAACCAGAGACCCCTTTTCCCAGAGAACAGAATTAAAGATAAAAATACATCAGTCATTATATAGGACACCAGTTTATAAAAAGATGTAGCAGGAGAGAGTATTCTATACATACCACAGAATCATAGAACTATAGACCACTTTGGGTTGGAAGAGACCTTTAAAGGTCATCTAGTCCACCCCCTCCCCTGCAGCGAGGGGGGACACCTTCAGCTGGATCAGGTTGCTCAGAGCCCCGTCCAGCCTGACCTTGAATGTTTCCAGGGATGGGGCTTCTACCGCCCCTCTGGGCAGCCCGTCCCAGTGTTTCACCACCCCCACTGTAAAAAATTTCTTCCTAATATCTAGCCTAAATCTGCTCTCTTTTAGTTTAAAACCATCCCTGCCCACCTTTCCTGCAGGCCCCCTTTAAGCGCTGGAAGGCAGCTAGAAGGTCTCCCTGGAACCTTCTCTTCTCCAGGCTGAACAACCCCAACTCTCTCAGCCTGTCCTCACAGGGGAGGTGCTCCAGCCCCCTGATCATCTTCATGGCCCTCCTCTGGACCCTCTCGAGCAGGTCCATGTCTTTCTTGTGCTGGGGGCCCCAGAGCTGGACGCAGCACTGCAGGTGGGGTCTGACCAGAGCAGAGTAGAGGGGGAGAATCACCTCCCTCGACCTGCTGGCCACGCTGCTTTTGATATATGACAGGAATACTCGAACTCTATTTTAAATACTGAGAATAACTAAAAGTTTCAAGGTAGGTATTATATTAAGCTAAGAGTGTCAACAACACTCACTCAGCATGTTCTGCCAGTTAAACAACATCAGTGAAATTCCACTTGCAGCAGATTACTTGCTTTAAAATTAAAATATTAAAATGAAAACTCAAAAGGCTTGAATGAAAATCCTGTGGTTTTATTGTGCAGCTCACAATATTTAGGAAAAATTTGGTTTCTATGGCTTTGGTTTGCTCGTTTTGTTCTGACAGTTCCTGCTTTTAGAGACAACACAAAATAAGTCTGAACCTCAAGCTTTCTGCTTAAAACACAATTTTTCCCATGTCACAGAAGAAAATATATAAGCCTTTATGATTTTTGGTTCAAGAACAAGAAAAGACCTAAATGTCATGTGGATTAAAGTTGTTTTTTTTGTTTGGTTGGTTTTGTTTTCCTTTTAAGATGTTTACCTGAGTCTTCTCTAATTTTTTGTTGGAATCCTGAAAGGATTAGATAAAACCATGGTGAAACAACTAATCCAATTCACTAAAAGGTACATGAAAAAGATAACGTGGTTTTATCTGAAGGTAACCTTAATGTTAAGAATATAAATTCCACCCAAACATTAGACCCAAAAATGCCTCCTACACAACTGCTCCTTATACTGTTTGCCAGGTCAAGGTGGCATTTCAGGAAAAGGAAATTATTTAATTTCAACCAGATTTTTGTCCAGTTACCCACATATTCATGTTCCTGGACGTCACTTTGGAGCCAAACTTATGAATTGCTATTTGTTTAAGGAAAGAATCGGAGAAGTTTCTACTGCCAGAAATATTTGAGCTTAAATCAGTATTGCTGTCAACTCAAACTGACTTAAATATCTTACAAAATTACTTGTTATTTATTGTCTGTTAATTTTTTTTCCTTCTTTCATAAAGGTCTAGGAAAGCCACAAAGTTAACAAGAATCTTCCATTTTATTAATGGAAAATAGCATGATACAAATACAGATTAGACCTTTGTATGAATAGAAAGAACATTCAACTAATACACAGAACTATGAATAAAGCATACATTTTCTGAGGAAGATGTTTTTAGGATGCACAGAATATTAATGCACTTGCAATAGTTTCAGTCCTATAGGGCAGTTTCCGTGTTCCTCTATTTTCCTCCAAGTGCTTTCAAATACAAAGACTCCCATCCTCACCAAAGCACAGGTCTGTAGTTGAGTTAAAATCTAATTTTAAAGCTTTTGTCTCATATCCTCTAAACTAGTCTGCAGCTATGAATTGTTTAGTCAGTCCTAATTCCCTGTCTCTCCCAACTCCTCTCGGCGTTCCCTCCACTCTCGCAGCCAACTGGACGAGTTCTCATTTCCTTTG